TGATACCACTTACAGCTGACTGTGGAATATCTAGGAGGGGAGAAATTTATTGCAAAGGTGACATCCTATGGTAGCACCATGTTTGAATTCACTGAGCTCTTCAGAAGGAACCATCCATTCATAAATGTTTGTAAACCTGACTGCATGACTAGGTGCTTGATTTTACACACATGTAGGAGCCAGACCAGTGTTTTAATGTGTCTCTTTCCCTGCCATGCAACAAAAAGGGTACGGAGTAGAAAGTCTGCCAGAGACCAAAATAACTACCATGAGGTCATGTCCGAGTCCACCAATCAGCATTCAGCAGGAGACAGAGGAATTCCAAAGCAAACACATCAAAGCCACATTGCTCTGTAGGAGGAGCCTCTAACTGGTTATCCTAGTCAGGGGAAGAATATCCGAGGAAGTGTAGGATCACAGATGCACATATCACAGAAGCACAGGGTACAAAGCTGGGGTACAGCATAGAGGTGATGTCAGTCAATCACAGGGCACATGCAGGAGCATACATCACAGAAACAGAGCAGAGGCAACTTTCGAAATATCATGGTCATCAAAAACCTGAAGCCTGGAACTTCAGGAGGTACATCAAACCCACCTTGTTTTGGCGCCCAGGGGTTCATTATGAGTGCGGAGATATTCCATTCCCAATCTTGTGGTCAGAAGTCGCTGTGAATCATTGATCATCAAGACCGATTCCAAGACACTGTCACCTAGCAGTTTAGATATGCGATACATAGACGCGAACAAATCTCCTTCCTGCTTTTACATTTTACATCCATAATAGAAGTAATCGAAAGTGTCAGTCACCACTTCAGCCAAATGTACAATGCAAAGACACCATGAAATACTGTGTTTTTCACAATATCATTGCCAGACACCACCAGTAACCATTCACAGCTTCGTTGTCCACATTCGTGTGCTAGAAACCACAACATCCAGCGTGACTAAAAAAAAACATTCAACAGTCTGCTTAATTCCAGCAGAAGATGACTGCTGGACTGCTGTGAAGTCTGTGTTCTGTTAATGACAGCTCCTCCTGGTGGCCCCAAAAAGTTAATCCCTTTTTAGATAGCCAGACCTCTTTTGGGCCAGTCTTGGTCCTTCCGGGACCTGCCTCAGGGTGAGGGGAGGACATCTTCCAAAGGAATGGGCATCATCTCCTTAAGTGTTTTATATATAGTGGGTAATGACACAGTGCAAGTCTGATGTATATAGTATTATACGATTTGTGCCAGAGGTCATGCGGGCTGCCTCGCCCTGGGTGGGGTTCACTGCACACTGCAGTCAGGGCCCAGTTACTCTGACCAAAATGAAAAGCACGATTTTATCTATATATTTTGTCAGTGGTTTGAGGTCAGGAGGCCTAAATGCAGAGGACTTTAGAACTTTCAGGAGGTCAGGAGGTGCTTGGTGATGATCAGCATTGTCTCTAATGTTCTTGTGTTCTGTTTGATCTTACAGGAGGTCAGGAGGTGCTCGGTGATGATCAGCACTGTCTGTAATGTTCTCGTGTTCTGTTTGATCTTATAGGAGGTCAGGAGGTGCTCGGTGATGATCAGCACTGTCTGTAATGTTCTCGTGTTCTGTTTGATCTTACAGGAGGTCAGGAGATGCTCACAGATGATCAGCACTGTCTGCAATGTTCTCGTGTTCTGTTTGATCTTACAGGAGGTGAGGAGATGCTCAGAGATGATCAGCACTGTCTTTAGTGTTCTCTTGTTCTCTTTTGTGTTACAGGTGGTCAGCAGACACTTGGAGAAGGTTACCCTTTTCCTGCTGTCTTTCCTATGGACTGCTTAATTAAGTGGAGTAATCACCAACAGTCTAAACATGTTACAAAAATCCACATTTGCTTACTGGAAGTTTGCACATTTGAAGAGCATTATCTTATTTCCTGAATATTTTAATGCTCTGCTTTGTTTTTGTTCAGTTTAAAGTTAAATCTGTGCGACTTCTCGTGAACTGTATTAGCTGCCACACATAGTAATCAATAAAGATAAAAAATAAAGCAAAACAAATAAATACAAACAATTTAACTACAAATTAATCTGCATTACTCACACTGCAACGTATGCTTGGATCAATATCCCACAACTACAGAGTACAGCAACTCCTGAACGCTACAGTAATATTATCGTACATAATGTTTGCGTAGTGTCACTAATATGTAAGAGAAGGCACACTGTGGGGACAGTGCTTGAGCAAACATTGAGCCAAAGTTTTCAGCTTCTGCAGGATGTAGATGACTTACCACAATGTCGATTTTCATTAGTGTTTGTGTTGAGTTCTTATCCATCTCCATTAACAAGTTTCTCAACTGCGGTCCATTTCTATGTTTTGTAGCATATTCTTTTCTCAGAAAACAGAGTATTTTATGGGGTCTCAGATGGGTCCAGATGAATGCAGAGGTTTCATATTCTTGGTGAGAAGATGACATAAGGTTGTGTTGCTGGAATGACACAGGTGGCCTGTTCGCTCTCTGAACTCCACGAGATGGACCCACCAGGCCCACAAACTGCCGGCTCCATCTTCCTTTGTGCGGCTATATTACATATTGTCCATCGTCTTGAACTCCAGCCACCGCGGATGAAGTCAACGTCCAGCGTTGCCAGATGGGGAGAGAGGCAGCGAACGTGAAGGGACTCTAACTCCAAACTCAATCATTCCACATCTGAACAGAAGTGAGTTCATATATAAGCATGCATATTGTTTGTTTGGGAGAGAAACTCACAGTAATAGGACCGGGTATGACATAATCCTGAGGCGCAATGACCATCTTTGAGACTTGGTGATGGAAGTAGATCAAGGGTAGAGGTTAGAGCATATGCCATTAGGGCTAAAGTGTTTCAGGGCCAAAGAGTGCAGAGCGCAGTCAAAGCGTGCCAGGGAATGCCGAAGTGTATAAGGCCAAGGCCAGCGTGCATTAAAGGTTACTGTAGTGTGATGAAGCAGGCCAAACGTGTGAGACTGAGGGATGGAGCTCATATTAACCGAGAGCTGTGGGAGAGACGCCGAGCAGTGTTATTTTAATCATTATCGGTGCGAGGTGTTGTGTTACCGCTCCAAGGCGAACACACCCCACCCTCTACAGCAACGTGGCCAACTGTCTGGTAAACACTGTCGAGTGATGCGAGTAGCAGATGCCCAGAGAACCCTGGATCGCGACATACTTCCCAAGCATTGCATGGCTGGCAACAAAAAGGTGCCCCAAGCACCTGAAGGACTCTGTGGAAAGAGGAAATCCCTACCGTTGTTAAAGCTAGAGTGAAGATCCATAAAAACAACACCTGGAGGAAAAAAAAATGAATGAATGGAAAATGGTGATGGATGAGACTATAACCAACATAATACTAGTCAAAAGTAGTCAAAACTATAGATACACCTACTGAAAATCATTATTTTTCAGCAAGATAATGACCCTAAGCGCACCGTGAGGTGGTAGTAAGCTTTATCTTGTGAACAAGAAAGAATATGGACTGCTGTGACAGATGACCTGGCCCCCACCAGCCCCCCCCATCCCCACCCACAGAAACCCTATAGAGCTGGTTTGGGATGAGTTGGATTGAAGAGTAACAGCAAGGTAGCCAACATGTGCCCAGAACTTGTGGAAACTCCTTCAAGCTTGTTGGAGCAGCATTCCAGGTGGCTACATCTGGAAGCTGGTTGAAAGAATGCCAAGAGTCTGTAATGCTGTCATCAAAGCCAAAGAGGGCTGTTTTAAAGAGTCTAAAACTTAAGAAAATTTTGAGATGATGAACACTTAATTGCAATATTTGATATGTATTATTTCATTGCCTTGAGGCCTTTTACTATAAGGTGAATTACAGCTAAAATGCATTTAAAAGTAGGTATGTTCAGATTTTGACTTGTACTCTACATTTAGTCAGTTTCTGTATACTCTTAAAACACAATAATTGATATAAGCTTAACGTCGCTGGTAGATTTGGAATAATTTTTTTCAATAATTAAGCTGTCCAAAGAACTAATATTGTTCTGCGGCTTGGAGCCACCGTGATCACTTGACCTTGGAAGAAGCTGGACTGGAAGATCTTGCATTGTCCTCACAAACTCTCAGATTCCCAGTATTCTTTCAGCATCCAAATTCTTCACGTTTCAAATGTTTCTACACAGTAACCAGGACACCATCCAGATGGGACCGAACTCTTTGCATTCGTTTCAGGAGTCGACCCATAGCCTGTGAAGGCCAGCGGGAAGCCGGTCGTACCCGTGCTTCCCTTTATGAGTAATTATCAGCGGCAGCTTCTCTGACTTCTTTAAATTCACATGTATTCCCAGAAAAGCTTGCCGCTGCTTATTTTTGCTAGATTTTTGCATCCAGCTAAATGAATCATGCATGTTGGAAAACGAGTCCCGTTCATCACAGAACGCAGTGTCAAACTATAAAGGACAAGCAAGCAGGAGTAAACCCAAGCGCTCCAGGCCTGGCCTGCTACACAGCAAGCACTGGAGAGAGGTCACTTTCAGACAGCGGGCTCCAAAATATCCTCGTACCTTGGACCACACACCACTGGGAACTCGTATGGAATCATTTAGCATCTCATTGATCCTGCACTGGTTCTTCGGTGCGGCAAATGGATTCATACTGGTCATGTTCGTCGACCAGAGATCTCTCGGCTATGATTAAGAGCTATTGGGATACATGTTCCTCCACTCTCATGAAATGATGCCTGAAAATCACCACTACAGGGCTGTACGATTTACTGTTGGAGCATATCGAGCTCTGCGGCCTCTGTGATTTATATAAAGCTTTGGCACCGACTCCGCACTGCAAAAAGAGAGAGTAGCTATAACAGGTTGAGACTGTGGACCAAGCCCCCCACCCCACAGATCACATCTTAAGGCATTTGACTCCAGGACTCGCATACTATTGCAGTCACGCTTTGCCTCAAATTTAATTACAGTGAACACATTTATGCCCTTTGTAAGTTCATGTGTAGGTTAGTGTTTGGCAAAGAATAAAACTTTTGCTTTATTCCTAAAATTAAAAAAACTTTTATTATATGGCAGACAGTTTTACCCAAAATCTTTTTGCGAAAGCAGGGTCACGCAGTCTCTGGAGCAACTGGGGGCCAAAGGCCTTATTCAGGGGCCCAACAGCAAAGTTACCCTGCGGACCTTGAGATCCGAACTGGCAACGTTGCGATCAGAGGCGCGACATCGTAACATGCTGAGCCACACACTGCAGGTCATCCAATGCGCCGAGCGATAAAATTAATATTATACTATATAACGTACAGAGAAGCAATCAAAGTGAACCAAAGTAAGGGAAACCAGAGGTGAGAGCAGCAGGGATTGTTGGACACAGCGGAAGACACACGGCAGAATAGCACACAAGGCCAAATCTTTATTCATTAAACTATAATTATAACTCTAGCACAGCAGTGAACTGTCACCAAAGTCTACAGACATCACAAGATAAACTGCAATGGGAGAGCCTCCTGAACACCGAGATGAATTCCGTTCTGTACCGATTAGTGTTGGAAGGTGGTGTGACTCCACCCGACCACACCCAAGCAGGCCACCGTGGAGCGGGAGAAACTCAAAAAAAAAAAATAAAATACAATAAAAATCCCTTAGGGGTGTAACAGTCCACGCTTTGTCTCCATGGTCACACGAGCGCCTGCCTGGATGCAAAGTCCCAGCTGGTGGAAGGATAGTGTTGCTTTTTGGGACAGCAAGTTCCCATTAGTGAGAAGAGGAAGCTCTCTGTCTGCAGTCTTCGCGGTTCTGAAAGGAAAGCAGCGCGGGCTGTTATGTCGATCAGGGGTCGCTCACTCGCTTCTGCTGGGTCAGGCGCCTGCTCTGACAGACCTCCTGTGGAGGTCGGCTGGGCATCACAGCATGCCGGGGCTCGCCCTGGCGTTAGTGCCACTGTGCCAGGCATCGCTGTCAGGATGCCATCCTAGGGATATTGTGTCAGAGGCCTTGGGGAGTCCCCGGATGGGTAGAAGTCGGGGGGGCTCCGGAACAGTTAAATCACTACCGATTGGTTAAATTGTGCCTATTTCTGGTGGGTGGTCAGCTGATCAGATTGGGTGGGGGCACTACCCCTCCCCTGCCCACCTTTAGCCATGGCTGCAACAGAAACATATTCTCAGTTTCAAAACCTAAAAAAAATCCTGACATGAATTATGTGCTCTGCGTCACGCGGCTAAGACCCAGAATTCAGGAATGTAAACCATGCAGACAGACCGGACATGGGGAGCCCCACCTGGTCGTCAGTAGTTTATCATTCTCTTGACGGCGTCAAAACACTTCCATTTATCCGGGATGTAGAAGGGCTCGAAGATGTGGGGGAAGGGGGTGTCGTAGCCACAGACCCGGGCGATGGGAGCCTCCAGGTTCAGGAAGCACTCCTCCTGCAGACAGAGTCACACTCACGTTTATTGAGGGAGCAGGGTGAACAAGTGCATAGAGCAAGTAGTGGTTAAGGGCCTTGGTCAGAGGCCTAACGGTGACATCACTCTGCCCTGGGATTTGACCTGGCAACCTTCTGATCACAGGTACAGTGTCCAAACCCGCTGAGCCACACGCCACCCCCACATGACAACGCCAGCAGTACCAGGCCACGCCGGACCACGACGTGCTCCATTTATACTGCTGGCACTGCAAAAAATCAGTTTGATTCCAGAGAAAATGGTGCATGTGGTGATTCAGATCCCTCCTTCAGCCCTTGCTGCCGGTTCTGTATTTACATATGGCGTGTCCGGGTGGGGACTGCATTCTCCACACAGAACCGATAAGAAAAATAACCTGAAACAGACCCGAAACCAGCCGCAGCTGAGTTAGTTACTGTTTTACCTGGGGCTTCAACCGGCCCTGGAGATGTCAGGAAGTACATCAGCCACAGCACATACAATATCCACAAAGTACGCAGCCAAGGGTTAGACTAAGAGCTGGATAAAGCCTGGGATCCTGTTCAGGGCTCACACACACACACACACACACACACACACACACACACACACACTTCTTTTCTCCAGACAAACCCTGACAGTGGTAGTTATATTGTTGCCATGTGCATTAACCCAGAGAAACACCGGCTCAGCAAACGACCAACTACTAATTCGTCTGGAGCTTAACAGGACCCGACAGAATCATGGCGCTTTCCGGAGATGAGCTGGGGTGAGTATCGACACCGCAGAGTCCCGTCCAAAGGATCCGCGCAGCAGAGTCAATCCACGTGAAATGAATTACGCACATGGGAAGGGAAGTCAGCTTTTGTTTTGATTAAACGCTGAGGGGATGTTAAAAAAAAAGCTGTTAAATTTACATTGCATATCGCAAAGTACTTAAAAAAAAAATTAAGTGTTAAACAAGTCACAGAAGACTAAATAAAATGATTCTAAAAATAATCCCTGAGCAGCAGTGGTGGTTGATAAAGGAGGTGATGCTTATCGTAGCTGAAGAAACCTGATTGCCAACCGTGCCTGGGGGTCCCAAACCCAGCCCAGGTCTGCTCTGCATAGTGCCACTTTATGTGTCAGCTTAGACGTGACGAGTGGGGGCATTTTGAGACTTGATTTTAATAGAACAAATAGCTAAAAGACATTTAAATTTTTTTTGTTCAATTATAGAATTAAAAATTAAGAGGATTACTTAAACACCCTTGACCACCAACTGGCTGATTTACGATTTTTTTTAAGCTAGGCCCAGAGATGAGCGTACCCACCCTGCCGTAACAAGTGTGTATTCCCGCCCACGCAAATCTCCTGCAGCACCACCTTTTAACTCATTCACAACTTGTAATTTTACAGGTCGTAATTTCATAAGGGCCCGGTAAGACTCGGCTAATTGCGAGGCTGGTTTGGGTCGTCAAAGCGCCGGTCCGTATAATCAGGCAGCAGAGCTGACAGGAACGAAGTAGAAATGGGAGGAGGACCTGGTGAACACCCCCGCCCCACCCCAGACGCTCAGCACCCATGAGGTGGATGTCCCATGAACTGCTCCAAAGGCCGTAAAAACAGATGAACGTGTGACGCACCTTTGGCACCGAGACGCAGGTACCTGCTGACAGATTGTTGGTCTGATGCCCCGGAGACAGAAGTGCAGACATGTCCGTGTACTAACACGGCTGCCCCGCATCCCTGGAAACACCCTCCCACCCCCGACGACCGAAATATAAACACCAGGACGACTGAGGCTAAACTTGCCAGTATCCTAGAACCAGACGTGATGGGATCGTTCGGGCCGCACGCCTGTTCCCGAGGATTGGCGGGGAAGAGCATGAGAGAGTCCCGAACACACACACACACATGCACACAAACAGGATGACAACTAGAACAGCACCCCCTTGAGGGCTGTTAAAACAGGGTGGGTGATTTTGCTCACAGCTCAGGGGCTTTTAAAAATGTCACTCTGAAATCAGTCCCGCTCACCAAACCAAACATCCAGGACTTTACAGTATCAGGTTTCCTGCTTGACGTCTTGCTACAAATTCACTAAGGTAAACAAGTTCACTAAGAGACACCTGGTGGTAAATACACCATAGCCACTGGTAGCGGTAGGTAACATGTGTGCCTCAGCAATGAAGAGCCTCCCTTAATGATCACCTGCGTTAGCTGCAGCTCGGCTGCAGGGTAGCACAGGGGGATGTAAACACTGTGGCCGCACCCTGGAAAAAGGGCTGAGCTCATGGCTGGGGGGCAGGCAGGAAGCAACCTAGAGGCAGGCCGAGGGGGTCACGACCGGCCTCTTCCAAGTAAGGGTACTGACTTTCACTTCCTGTCCCTTGTCGACGGAAAACTTAAACCCGCCACACAAAATAGCTTTCACTACGGCTTAAAATGGCTTTCACTGAAATTACTACAGCAAACCTAACTTTCTTAGGCATGAGACCAATGGTTTATGAAGATTAAAGAGAACCCTGTTAATATTACATTTTCCAAAAGCGGACATTTTTGACAGCATCAAGGCACTTTCATTCATCTGGGATGCAGAAGCATGTGTGCAAAGGTCGTGTTGTAGAGACAGACCCAGGTGCCAGACAGCTGACTGAATCATAGGAGTCCCCATGTGCGGACTGGGCTAGCAGGGACTCACTCGGAACCGGAACCGGAACCGGAACCCAAGAGGTCCATGACGCAGACCTCTTCCCTCCCAACTGGGTCTCTCATTCCAGATTGCCCACGCTTCCTGCCGATCGACGGTGTAACAGGAAGTCACATGGTGTAGTCCTGCCCCGTGATAGGGCGGGATGGGACTAGGGGGTCTTCAACGTGCCATCGACATTGAAAGCTCCTTGCAGGGAACACATTGAGGGTCCCTGGAATTCCTGCACTGAAAAAAAAGTAGGGGCTAGCTGGGGCTCAGTCTGTCTCCACCTCCTCATTCGTCGAGTGTGAGAGTTGGAGGCTGTAACCAATATGTATTTATATGCTTCTGTCAACAGCTAGAGCAACAGCAAATGGTGCATGGTGACCATCCGGATCACCGCCACACCCCCCGCTACCGTCACAACTGAGATGGCTTACTGAGGCCCCCCAACGGTGGCCCCCATATAGGCAGCATTGGGGTGTCAGACCCCACCCCCCCGAACTTAAAATGCTTCATTAGTTTATATGTCTGACAGTTTCTAAAAGTTTGTTTACATGGGAATCCCAATCATATCAGCATCAAACACAGGATGTTGGAAGCTCCTCCCCTAAAATCTAACAGGTTACCTGAGACACCGCCCCTAAAATCTGACAGGTTGGCTGAGGCCCCTCCCCAAAAACCTGAGTCATCAACCAAGAAAAAAAAAAACGATGAGTCAGATTTCCTGCGCTCTTGGTATCAGTAGTAAAAATGGTCCCATTTCAGAATAGACTGATGTTTACTTACAAGCACGCACGTCGCCGCAGCACGTGTGGGAGGCATCCCAGGCTGCACGTGGGTGACCTGTGAGAGCCGGCCCGGCCACGCAGGTGTGGCACAGATGTCCAGCTCATTCCAGACCCGCTAGTCACACAGAGCCTTTGTGTGGGACCGTGGGGACCAGCACCGAGCCGAGACAATGAAGAGTCGCTTGCATACCTCAGGGTTATTTTCAGAGGAAGGAATGCAATTATGGGGTGTTCTTTTCCATCATTAAAAACACATTTGGGGGGGGGGGGGGGAATGTGGGCCGGGTGCTGGCCAAGCGACACAGGTACACAGTGTCAGGACGGCAGTGTCTGCAGATAATTTGCACAGTCCTCCAAAGGGCAGAATGGCTGGCTCGCAAAAACACACTTTGAGGTGAGTGTGCATGTAGATAAAAAGCACCTTGCTTGTGCGCGTCAGAGTGCACGTTCCAAGCTGCTCTCACCCAGTGTTACTGTGGGGTTCAGGATTAGTGTACAAAGTCGCTCTCAGGAGGAGAGCCATGAAAGATGCAGGATTACATCAGCTGAAGAATGGATAAGCGATTGGAGAGCCCATCTCCATCTCATGCCAGCAGGCTGTGACGGTGGGCCGGCCCAAACGGACCCAGCCAGACTCTGGCCATAGGTGTCGACGTCGACAGAACTCCAGCCTGCGGGAGCGGCGTGAGTCACGTTTTACTGAATGAGGAGGCAGGTCATTGCTGCTGACACTTTCCTCCTAACAGGCACAACGGGGGCTGCTGAGGGAACACGACAGACAACACACCCCAGGGCATTCGCTCCCGTAACCCAACACCCCCTGAAAAACTCAAAAATTCTGCACGTGACTTCAGGGCTTGACAAACCGCCAGGCCATGTCAAAGCAGCTCTATTACCATATACAATTTCTACGGTGGGTGCAGGCCTGGAACCAGGGCGGCGAACAGCAGTGAGGCGCTGATGCCGGACTTTGCATCTAGTTCGGCCTATTTGGCGGACGCTCTTGTTCAAAGCGACGCACGCAGATAGAGCATCACAGAGCGTTCCTAGGGTTCTGATGGCAGGCGTTACGACATCACACAGCCTGAATCAGCCCCCACCCCGAGCGTGTGAGGGAGACTCAACTTTGAAGTCAGTAGAGACCTGGCGTCCAACCAGCATCTCACATCACACACTATGGGACATACTGAGATAGACGCAATGGCTTCTGTGCACACGCACACACAGCTTTCGCAGCCAGGCAAATGGCAAACACCCTCTCCGCTCTTATCAGCCTATGTGTGTTTATGGTGACCACAAAAAAAAATATATATATATGGACTGAGGTATGTGGCTCAAAGAGTTAGGACACTGTAATCAGAAGGTTGTCGGTTCAAATCCCAGAGTCGGCAGAGTGACTTCAACGTGGGACCCTTGAGTGAGGATCTTTAAACCCCAATCGTCTGACTCTGCTTTCTCAAAAAAAAAAAAACATGGCATCACCTTGGACCTCACCTAAGTCTCATAAATAATAAGAGGAAAAACTATTGAAGAAAAGAGGAACAGACTAACTGGAAATGATGGAGTGTGAAAGAGAGATGCAGTACGGGCCCCCCCCATATGGATCCAAACCTGGGACGTGGCTGAGGACGTGTCCCCCCTTTTTCACGCTTCCTCACAAGGTCAGACCCAAGCAAAGTGCCCACTACAGGGTTACCATGACAACCCACAGCACCTGTGCCAGCTCGAGAATGATTTAACTGAACAGGTCACCCATCCACATTCACCTTAATTTCTGGGGCCAGCAAAGAGGAAAAAAAACCCAAAGCTACCCCCCCCATTTTCCCCTTCAGTCCTGGAGCGTGTTAAGCCGTTACTCTCTGATTGAGAGTGAACTGTTTCAACAAGCAAGGAATCGGGGAGCGAAAAAACAAGAACAATCCAACCCACTCAAAAACAGCCTTGACAAAAACAGCCAATGAAAAGGAAATCTGAGCGTCCAGAAGCGCCGACCGGAGCCTCATGCTGGAGATTAACTGTAAAAAGAAGAGGCTTCAGAAAACATCTGCTTTCTCTGGCTCTCAGGGGCGACCCGGTGACTGTCCTGGGAGCGACAGCCTGGCTGAGGCTGCGGCAACTGCTACTTTCACCACCTGGCGTCAGAGAGACGGCTGGAGAGACTCGATGGTCCAGGGAAGCCCATTAGCCAACGGCGAACTCAGCATTAATAGTTAATAGAAATACGTGGGATTACATTGCAAGCTGCAGAGGTGTGTGTGTGTGTGTGTGTGTGTGTGTGTGTGTGTGTGTGTGTGTGCGTGTGCGTGTGCGTGTGCGTGTGCGTGTCTCACCTGCACGGTGGAGCTGATTTCCGCTGCAAAGCCTCCGGTCACTGGGGCCTCGTGGCTGATGAGCAATCGCCCCGTTTTCACCACTGACTGGAAAACGGAGAGAAGCGGAAGAGAGGCGTGTGAATGCTGTGCTTAGCGTGGACCTGCCCGTCATCTGCTCACCATTTTCCTCCTTTTCAATTCATTTTACTTTCAGCTCTCGGGCCTTTCGAATGTAACTGCATACTTTCTGTATACATCACGAACGCATCGTCATTTACCAATAAACAGTAAGGTGGCACCCAGGTGCGTCATTGCAGATTTACTAAGGGGTCTGATTTTAATGAAAATTAATGGGAACACTATTTAAACTAAAAATTGTGTACATTTATTCTGGGGGTGGGGTATAAAGAACATTTTTTAGGGGTGCTAAGGCCCCCCCCCCAAAAAAAAACAGCCCTGGCAGTGCCCCTGGTAAGGAGCCTGCACTGACTGGTGCTGCCACACCCACCACAGGACAAACCACCTCCACGATGAGAACCTGAGTGCAGCCATGCGGCAGGTGATACCTCAGCACCACACCAGTCCAAATGGACCAGTGTGAGTTTTTTCCCAGTGGCTGGAGTTCCAATCCTGCCACCAAACCCCCATGTTATTCCCTGTAAATTGGAGAACCTCCTTATAGGGCTGGATGTAGATTAACAGATAACACAGGCTACTGTCCAGTAAGGCGTCCCAGTCCATAGACACAGCAAGAACACCATAATGCTGAGCTCACTTCTTGTCCTCATACAGATACAGGCTGCTGTCCCTCGTGCGTGTCGTTTAACCCCAGGAACATTTTATTTCATTTCTTAAAAAGCAGGATCAGACAATCCACAGAGCAACTGCACGCTATGGGCCTTGCTCAAGGGTCTAATGGTAAAGTTACTCTGCCGACTCTGGGATTGGAATCAGCAACATTCTGATCACAGGCACAGCAGCCAAACCCGCTCAGCCAGACGCTGCCCGGTTCAGGTGGTTACGATCTTCAAACGAGTTCTGCTGTGAAGCAGCGTTTTAGATTTAAGAATCCGTTTGAGCAGGACCCCCGATGCCCGTCCCTATACCACCAGAATCCCTGTGACAGTGAGGACTGTTCACACCCGGAACCAATCAGCCGGATAGGACACGACCCAGGTTTGGATCTAACGCTTACCCGTCCCATGAAGATGAGCGTAACGGGATCCTGACAGCGGGTGTTATTTTAATAATCCGAAATCCATTTCCCCTTCCGCAGCCCCCAGAAAGACAAAAGGCCAATTAATTCCGCTTTGGTTTTAAGTCAGTTCAATTAGTTTGAATCAAATATTTTGTTTTTTTAAAACTCTTTTTTAAAAATTCTTCTTCCACAGCTTGTTTTACTTTGAACCATCTTAATGTCAGGTTTTACCACAGGAAAAAAAAAAAAAAAAAAGCAATTTGGCGGCAGCCTGCGATGAACATCTGCGATCAGAGCGGCTGGGATCGTACAGAAGTACAGGCAGCTGCATTCCTGCTGATGCGTGGGATTCTGTTTGCCTTCAGCGCTGCGAGTTAAAATAGGTCCTGCCTTCTGAGCAAGTTCCGGCATGGCTGCCATCATACAGATACACGACGCGGTCTAACCCCCCCCGAGTCGGGCCTGGATGGACATTACAACTACAGCATATCATCCTGAACACTGCTACTCTTCACACTTCCTGGTCGTAGTGCTTGGTTACTGATCTCATGTGTGGCTCAGCAGGTTCAAACTCCGTGGTTGTGATCAGAAGGTTGCTGGGTCAAATCCCAGCACCCTAACGCCCAGCTCCAGGGGTGCTACATGCTGGCTGACCCTGTGGTGTAACCCCCCCAAGCTTGCTCTCATCTGTATGTATGTCTGTGTATCTCACGGAGTCCTACATGAGGTACGCAGAAAGACAATGTCCCCTTTGGGATGAATAAAATCTCATTATTCTATTCTATTAAAAGCGAAATTCCCTTAGAAGAATTTTAAAGTTCATATAAATGATTCACTTCAATAACCTAACACACATGCTTGGGCTGACTTTTCTTCCACGAACATGGCTCTGACGCACCCTCCAACATCTGAAGCTCCCCTTCTCCCGTTGCCTTTAGATCTTCACTGACCAACGCGACGGATACAGCTTGAAAACCAAGAACTCAGCCAAACACCACACTTGCAGAATCAACACACAGAGGATCATTTTTGTCATCTTTGATATCCTTCCTTACAACTGAACCTGCTCGCCAGCTCACAGGGAAGACTGAAAGGATGGATACCATCAAATGGAACTGAATGACTCCAGACTCAAACATGCTAATATTTAATCAATCACCCTTGATGTACAGTTAAATATCATTTATATGTCAATTTTCCCACATTCTATTCTGAAGAATTACTCGCCATATTCAATGAGGTCTAGAGCAGCAGGTTTTCCAGCAGGCACAACGTACCTTTGAAGATGAAACGCAGAGATTAGCGAGACCTTTGCCGGGCCCTGAGCAACGGATAACATTGTTATGCCAAAGCAAGATAGCGGGTTAGCTCATCTTACATCAGCGAGCACGCTCACCACACGCGCAGATAACGCCGTGTTGTGATTGGCCGGACAAACGGCATTTCACCGAGTCCTCAGTTTATTTCTGCAATCTCCGTTTCCACAGCGTCCACCCCGCACCGAGGCCAGGATACGAGCTAGACATGAACAAACAGAAGATGGGCAGGAGGCGGTCAATAGGGAAATGGGATGTCTGAATGGTGCTCAGGAGCACTGACAAAACCTCAGGATTACAGTGGGCTCATGTTCCAGCATCAGATGGAGGAAGGTGATGGAGGAAGGTGATGGAGGAAGGCGATGGAGGAAGGCGATGGAGGAAGGCGATGGAGGAAGGCGATGGAGGAAGGCGTGTCCATGAGGCCCAACCACTGCTGTACGCTATACTGGAATCAGTCATGTGCTGGCAGAACCATGCATGAGAAATAACATCTTTTTGCTTACACTGAGGCACCACACTACGCAAAATGTATATTATATTTATTTAGCAAATGCTTTAATCCAAGGTAGAGTACAGGGTCAGACAATTAGGGGTTAAGGGCCTCCCTCAAGGGGCCAACAGTGACATCACTCAGCTGATCATGTGACGCAAGATCGGCAACCACAGCGTCCTAATCTGCTCAGCCATGTACCAGATTGTAGAAGAGCACGCTCTGCTGGGCCCAGAACCAGAACCAGAACGGTCATGGTTCACTCAGCACAAAAGTTGCAAATATTTACCTTGGCTGAGGTCATGACCTTCAGCTGTAGGAACCATACCGCCTGGAGACACAATAACCACTGTGCATGGGCGATTTTACCATCAGCGTGAGCCAAGTCTATCTGCTGGGATATAAAATCACTTTCATATAACGTTACAACCACACAGGGCATACACACTCTCCCCCAAAACACACATAAGGTTAAGGAAAGTTGGACCTTGCTGGGTTCTCAGCAATGAACTGAGAACCCATTAATTTCTCTTGTGTGAAACTAGATGGTCAGATTATAAACTGTAGAAAAGCCACACCCACTCCCAATGCATATTTAACGGAAGGAAAAAGGATCAAAAACCAAAATAAAATGCATCTCAAATGTTATTACTGAAGAAATGGTGTGGAGTAGATTTCCTCTGTCTCCTAGGTGATGGAAAGGGTTTGTCATTTTTACGTTCTAACGAACACCTCACACTGCATACACCAAGACTAACAAAAGCCTGTCAGTTGCAGGCTGGCTTAACCCAATGCGGACCAACAAAGTTCAAAGTTACCAAAGAAAAATACTATAAACCAGTTAAACAGATGAGAGGCTATTGATGGATAGAATAATCTGTACCTTCGGAAGCCCTCTGCAATGGTCGAGGAGGATTTTAGCATCTGCGAGAGGCTCACCTCTCCAGACAAGCCGAACAGACCCGACGTAAGAGGCCACCAGAGACCGGGTACGAAGGATGGGGACCAGCCACACGGCCGTCTGGTGCAGCTCATCCTGCAGAAGCTTTGTGGACGTTCTCTCAGGCGACACGGAATTTAAGCAAACATGCTGAAGAGGAGCGTTCCCAAAGAAGCCCAGCGGAGGGCTTAAAGCTCAGCGGGGTCTCTCTCCAGGGGGAACAAAGACGCCCAAGCAGGTCAAAGGCGACCAAAACATCTGAGTGACAACCCGCCTACAGTCCCCACTGTTTATAAATAGGGCAGGTCGGCTGACTGGAGCTCCTACAGAACGACTCATTTTCTGCGTGCCTTTCGGCACCCCGAGCAGGCAGCAGGATTCCTTCCAGACTTTATCCCGGGTCAATGCTCATGGGTAGGATCAGGATTCGGAAGAACAGACAGATTAAGGCACGGTCTGGGCCCAGGAGGGACTCAAAACATGGACTTTACATGGAGAACAAGGTCAGAAGTTGGAGATACTGGTAGACATAGCTTGCTGAATAGAATACAGAACAGAACAGGAGATACTCTTGCTCTTTCACACTGCAGGAACTTTCTTTCATGAACCAGAACCTTTTTCCCCAGAATCGGGAAGTGTTGTCGAGAACTCGGCCTGATTGAAATTCTTTGGATCCGGTTCCGAAACCATTTTATGTTTCCTACTCCAGACTAAGTATGGGGGGGGGAAGCGCGCAGCTATAAACTTGGATTGATCCCCAATAACCAAAGAAATTACCTATTTATCCTTTGTTTTGGGGGGGTGGTATAGATTCCCATGAAATTGTGTGTGAAGTTTAACCTACAAGCTTTTTGTGTCTCTCATGCTTATTTAGCATAAAGGTCCCAGTTCCTGTTTTGTGGTGTGAAAGCAAAGACGGCCCAGGAACTTGTAACCAGAAACCAGGTTCTGGAACTTTGACGTGAATACGTCCTTTATTGATCCCCATGTCTCTTCAGGAAATGTCCTTTAAAAAGCGATTATACCTGAGCCAGCGACCCAAACACTTGGCTCCTCCAGAACTGCCGATTTTACCAAACAACCTTCTAGAGATGCCCACTCCTCTTTATATACACTGGAAAACAAACGGAGACCAAAGAGGGTCAAGACGCCCGTCCC